AATTATGGAACGGAACCGAACGGAACCGAACCGATCCGAACGGAACCGAACCCGAACGGTTCCATAATTATATTTGGACCCGACGGGTCCATTTATTAAATACCCGAAAGTTTTGGGTCGGTTCGGGTCTTTTCAGAACCGAATCGAACCGACCCACGGACAGCCTTATAAACCACTGTAGTCTGAAATCACGTTTAAGTTAGAATGCAAAGTTTTTACTTTAGGATAATGAAGTTATGTGCTGAAGACTAACTGCACAAATATTTTTCAATATTGCAATTTCAACCCATTGAGATTTCATCGAGTATAATAGAATGGCGTAGTATTCATGACCTCAACATGCATCCCTCCCACTAACTGTCAAGTAAAAATATGAAATCATACCTTACCACCTTGTCTTTGCAAAAGGGATAAATAACTGTAAACAAAAAAACAAGCTCTTTGAATTCCTGTTCCCTGCAGGATGTGCTGATTTATCACTGGAAACCCTCTTTTTTATACCATCTAAAGCCCTAAAAAAAAAAAATCACCTATTTACATCCAGTATAAGCGACAAAGTTAATTAAGCAAAAATCGATAGACATCAAAAAATATAAACTTGCAGATCAGGGCGACAAATTTGAACCTTTTTTTGCAAGAACTCAATCCCAATTAATAATAATAATTAAAAAAAAAAGCTCAAGCTAAAATTTCTTAACTTTTCAGTTCTTCTAAGTACAAGTAAGAGAAGAACTTGACTGGCAATTCATGTTAATAAAAATTAATTCCAGGAAATATGATCCATGAAACACCAAGAAACAGAAAAGAAAAACAGTTGATAAAAGACAACAATTGATAAAATACAGAAAAATAATTGTATTTAATATGCCGACAAAGATTCACATGCCCAATTGCACATGTGTTATATGTAACAGAAAAATAAAATGTAAATCGATAATTGTGTGCATATGTATGTGTTTTCAAATGAACAAGAAATCGGTACCTGTAAAAATTCAGGAGATTTTTCGATCGTTTAATGAATAACTAAGGAGCCAAAGTTCAAAGAGCAACCTTTTATGTGCTGTATGCAAGTGGTGGTACCCATTTCTGCCAAATCCATCATTGGGCCTTCAACATATTTTGGGGAAATTGATCCAAATAATAGCCTGGAAAAAAAATGAGGAAAAGTTCACAAATCATATATTAATTTTGACAATTGCAAAAATAAGTTATCAAGTTTCAAACTTACAAAAATCAAGTATATATTAATTAATTAAAAATTAATTTTCGATCACAATTTATTTGCAGGTCACAGATTTTTTAATGGTCACATATAAAAAATTTTCTAGGTAACCATTAATTCGTTGGTCACAAATCAAAATTTATAGGTTACATGGTCACATATTTCCAAATTAGTTGGTCACATATTTTTTCACGGTCACAGATTATATAATTTTTAGGTCACAGATAACAGAATTGTTGGTCACATATTATAGAATTGGTCATGTTCCAGGCTCAATTGGTCAAGACCCATGGTTGGGCAAGGTGAGCCATGTTAGGGCGAGCCTAGCCCAGGTGGTCCGCTACTAAGGATATTGGAGAGGCTAGAAAAGAAGATGAAGGAAAAGAATTGGATTATATGGTTGTTTTGATTTCTGAATTGACACCTAAAAAAACTGAGCTATTTGGAGATGCAGTGGATGCTTGGGTTCAGATTGGGTGCCCAAGGTTATCCATTGACTGGGGTAATGCATTTAAGAAGCCATTATTGACATCCTTTGAAGCTGGATTGCTCTTTGGGATATATCAGCGTGGTGGAAGAGGAAATTGAAGTGCACAAAGAGTGAAGATTGTTGTAAATACGAAGACGTGCAAGAGAGAGGAGATATAGGTGTGGATCATCCTATGGACTATTATGTACAAGATGGAGGTAAATGAAACTCTTGTTACTCGAAGAAGCCTAATCAGCCTCTAAGTGGAAATAGTCATTGTAATGATAGTTGTGTTAAAAGCTGAGATTTTTGCCGGCTTGCTATTACGTCATGGAATGTTTGATAGGAGAAACAATCCAACACGGGTGAAGCTGGCCTGTAATTTACTTACAGTCAATGGGGAAATAATCTTTCAGTTTTTGGAGCATATCTAAGTGCGAGTTGGGAGAACATATTCTAGAGAGAAGGAAGAGCGTTTGGGGATAGAAAGAGAAAGTGAAAAGTGAATGGCAGCGACTGCTGTTCACAGCAGGCAGAGAGAGACGAGGGAGAGAGGAGAAGGATGGAAAATGGAGAAGGATGAAATGAAATTAGGGTTTGGTATTGTGTGCATATGTATGTGTTTTCGAATGAACAAGAAATCGGTGCCTGTAAAAATTCAGGAGATTTTTCAATCGTTTAATGAATAACTAAGGAGCCAAAGTTCAAAAAGCAACCTTTTATGTGCTGTATGCAAGTGGTGGTACCCATTCTGCCAAATCCATCATTGGGCCTTCAACATATTTTGGGGAAATTGATCCAAATAATAGCCTGGAAAAAAAATGAGGAAAAGTTCACAAATCAGATATTAATTTTGACAATTGTAAAAATAAGTTATCAAGTTTCAAACTTACAAAAATCAAGTATATATTAATTAATTAATTAAAAATTAATTTTCAATCACAATTTTTTTGCAGGTCACAGATTTTTTAATGGTCACATATAAAAAATTTTCTAGGTCACCATTAATTCGTTCGTCACAGATCAAAATTTATAGGTTACACAGTCACATATTTCCAAATTAGTTGGTCACATATTTTTTCACGGTCACAAATTATATAATTTTTAGGTCACAAATAACAAAATTGTTGGACACATATTATAGAATTCGTCATGTTCCAGGCTCAATTGGTCAAGACCCAAGGTTGGGCAAAGTAAGCCATGTTAGGGCGAGCCTAGTCCAGGTGGTCCGCCACTAAGGATATTGGAGAGGCTAGAAAAGAAGATGAAGGAAAAGAATTGGATTATATGGTTGTTTTGATTTCTGAATTGACACCTAAAAAAATTGAGCTATTTGGAGATGCAGTGGATGCTTGGGTTCAGATTGCGTGCCCCAGGTTATCCATTGACTGGGGTAATGCATTTAAGAAGCCATTATTGACATCCTTTGAAGCTGAGATTGCTCTTTGGGATATACCAGCGTGGTGGAAGAGGAAATTGAAGTGCACAAAGAGTGAAGATTGTTGTAAATACGAAGATGTGCAAGAGAGAGGAGATATAGGTGTGGATTATCCTATGGACTATTATGTACAAGATGGAGGTAAATGAAACTCTTGTTACTCGAAGAAGCCTAATAAGCCTCTAAGTGGAAATAGTCATTGTAATGATAGTTGTGTTAAAAGCTGAGATTTTTGCCGACTTGCTATTACGTCGTGGAATGTTTGATAGGAGAAACAATCCAGCATGGGTGAAGCTGGCCCGTAATTTACGTACAGTCAATGGGGAAATAATCTTTCAGTTTTGGAGCATATTTAAGTGCGAGTTGGAAGAACATATTCTAGAGAGAAGGAAGAGCGTTTGGGGGTAGAAAGAGAAAGTGAAAAGTGAATGGCAGCGACTGTTGTTCACAGCAGGCAGAGAGAGACGAGGGAGAGAGGAGAAGGGGAAGGGGAAGGAGGAGAAGTTGTTGCACAGTAGGCAGAGAGAGACGAGGGAGAGAGAAGAAGGATGGAAAATGGAGGAGGATGAAATGAAATTAGGGTTTGGGTGATGTAATATTTAATTACCTAAATTTTGATTAAAAAATTTTCACACCTGATTTTTGCACTTTGAAGTTTAAAGACCCGATCTATGTAATTTTCCCCCCATTTTATTTAATTACCTGAATTTTGATTAAAAATTTTTCACTCCTAATTTTTACACTTTGAAGTTTAAAGACATGATCTATGTAATTTTCCCAAAAAAATAGGGAAAATTACATACATGTATTTAAAAATTGCTTTTTAGAATCAGGTCCAAAGGTGATTTATTAAAAATCAGGTATTATATTAAAACCTAATTGATAACCCTAATTTATCACTCTACTCTCTCTCTCTCTCTCTCTCTCTCCCCTCCCCATCTATGCCCTCCCAGTGAATAGCGTGAAGTTGAGGACGCCGTACCGTGCCGTCGCCACCACGAAAGCAGACCGGAGCCTTTTCGCGGGGAGACGCAGCAGCTGCGCTTTGCGGTGATCTGCATCGAAACCTCTGTGCGCGATCTGCAACTGCAATGACGAGCTGCAGTGGATCTTTGAGTGGTGGATATATGGGTGTGTGTGCAGTGGCGTCGCGATGGGTGGGGGTGTGATGGGGGTGATGAGTTTGGGATTTTTTGTTGGGTGGTGTGACGTGGTTTGTTAATGGTGGTAGTGGTAGTGATAGTGTAATAGTGGTGGTGGTGGCTGGAGATTCAATAGTGGTGGTGGTTATAGTTTTTGTTGATAGTTGACTGAATTTGGTAGCGACAATTTGGTGGTGGTGATGTGGTGTTGGTGTCAGTCGTGGTGCTGTTTTGGTGGTGGCGACAGTGACGGGGATGATGGTGGATCTGGCTGCGACAAAGAAGGGTGGATGCGGTAGCGGTAGTGTTGGTAACGGTGGTGTGTGACCACTATTTGGTGTATGTGACCAATTACTTGGTTATATGTAACCTATTATTTGATGGTATGTGATGAAATATTTGGTAATCTATGACCAATTACTCAACTGTAACCTAAAAATTTAGTAATATGTGACTCAAAAATAATCCTTGACCAACCAATTTAAAAATCTGTGACCAGCAAATAAATTGTGACTAATTAATTTAATAATATGTGACCAATAAATAAATTATGATATATAATTTTGTATTTGTGACCATTAATTGTATAACGGTGACTTTATTATATTTAATTAATAAAATATATACTTGAATTTTGAATTTTCAAACTATAAACTCAATTTGTGAATTGGTGTAAAATATACACATGATTTATGATTTTCCCAAAAAAAATGTTTGGTAGTATGATCTTGCATACTAGCCCCGTTTGGCCCCCTTAATTTATAATATATTTTTCTCTCTTTTATTCTTTAACACACGTTCTCTAACAAAATAATATTACACATAAACTAAAAAAATTTCCTTCTTTTCAACCGTATTTTTTCCAAAAAAATAAAATTCCAAAAATTATAACATCAAATAATAAGGCCAAACACGGAACATGAGCGGAGACTAGCCACGTTTGGTACTGATTAAAATCAAAATTTTAATAAATTTAAATAAAATATGATAAAATATATGGTTAAAAAGTTGCGGGATTTATAAAATATGTGATTAAAATTAATGGTAAAATTTGACTCCGAATAAATTTATATTTTAATAATCTCCAAACAAGGGCTAAAATGAGTAAAAATCCAAAGAAAAAATACAGTTAAAGGTTAAAATTTGTGACATCGTTTAAATATTGACTTGGAATATTCAACGTGACAAGATTTTGAAGAAAGAAAAAGAACAACATTGATGAAAATCTTGTTGGAATTTGATTTTAAAGAGATAAAAATTGGTTATGTTTGAAATCATGAAAAATGTGAAAATGACTTTAGTATCAATTTCGCTTAAATATTCGAACTTAATCTGATAGTCAAATTATGACAATAAATAGACTGACTTGATCTACTCGTCGAGTAGATGATTGTAATATATTTAAAATATAAAACCAATTCCAGATTAATGAGAAATTGTGGTCCAAAATTGGAGAAAAACAATCGAATTTTCAGCATCTAAGACTGTCACACGAGAGACAGTCCAGTGTCAGGCGACTGACAGACTCTCTGCTTTTGGTGCTTAAGTGGTACACAGGCAACATCCTAACGACAACAAAAGTTGTGACTCTTTGTAAATGTTGCTGAGTTTTGAGGCGTATCTCTCTATTCACAACTACTCATCTTCTATAAATAAGATCATTTGACGCCCTCTAACTCATCCCAATCATATACGATCATAGCATAACATAAAAATCATATGTCCTTAACCAAAATTTTTAATTTCATTCAAAAAGGAATACAAAAGCCATTTTTTTGATTCGTTGTTCTTGTGTTTTGGAGTACTATAAATACAACAAGGTAGTCACTGTATCTTTGAAATTGATTGCCATCATCCGTAGGTACCGTTGCAGGGTAAAATCGACTTAAAGATAAAAAGTTCTACTCTTGCCTAGATTTTGTATCCATTTCTTGGTGTTATTTTATCCATTTTCATTGGCATTTTAACTTTCATTTCTTTAGTGCTTATTACTAAATTCGTTGCCGTTACTCTATCCAATTTTTTGTAAGATTGGTAAGTTCAATTGGTTAAAGAAATCACTTATATCCATTTTAAAAAACAAACAATCTTTGAGTCAATGTTGATGTAAATAATGCTTTTATAAATAAGTTAGTCATATTATCACTTGAAAATTTTTATTGAACATTGGTATCATCATTTTTGTGAAACTCATGTATACCGAAGAACTTTGAAGAAATATATTGTCTATCACATTCGATATAACCTTTTTTAAGTTGTGCCACTCGTGCTGCATTATTAATATTGTTGAACTATCTTTTATTGAAGAACCTATTTTTCATAATGATTAGATATGATGGATTACATGTATCAACTATACACATTCTTGACTTGCCTCTTAAATTGCAATAACTTCATAACAATTTGAATTGATTTTGGTAATATAGCTGGTGCTCTACGTATAAACTGTATATGATATAACTTTATATAGAACCGTCGGTTCTGAATTCAGATACTCGTTCAAGTATTTAACTAATAAAGAACAGCTCGATTCGCTTCGATTCAGGAGTTTTGTCCAGCCCTAATAATATTCAAGAAATATTAATACTTCAATTGCACTATAATGATACTTCGGACTAAGATTTTATTTTATTTTTATTTTCAAATAACCAGAGGTGAGTAGGATCTTTATCTTTAAAAAAATTAGTGTTCTAAAAAGCTCGCTTAGGCAACATGCTTGAAGTGAGCACCTAAGCATTTTTTTCAATTCCTAAATGACTGATTTTTTTCCTTCCACTCTTTCATCTTCCCTAGGAGCACTTTATTTGTTTTTTTATTATTTTTTCTTTTTTTAAAGTCTTTTATTTAACTTTACTTTATTATTGTTGTTGTTGTTGTTATTATTATTTAAAAAAACTTTTCATTTGACTTTAATTTCAAGTTTTTAAAAGATTTTATATGTACAAAAGTTAAAAATGAATTTATCTAAATAGTTAAATAAAAGTTAAGCTATTGTACTACCTACATTATGTAATTATGATCTCGGGACTCATTATTTTGTTCCAAACTTCAAAAACATGTATGTGTTCCTATAAATCTATTAAGTATGAATTGTCTAGTTGAAAATTGAAACTATGAAAAATATTCTAGTTTTTGCATTTCGAAAACTTGAAAATTTTTTAATTGACTAATAGTAGGAATTATTAAGTAAGTACAACATTTTATAAGTTTAGATGTTTGATATGTATTATTTTAATTATTAAATGATTAAAATTTTAAAATAAGAAAACACATTTTTACTCTTAAGTCTCACCTAGGCTCGTTTAAGCTCGTAAAACTTGATATTTCGCCTCCACACTTAACCACGCTTTACACTTTTTAGAACACCGAAAAAACATTTTAATACTTTTTTGTATACAATATTGATGAATAAAGAATCATTTTTTAGAAATGTTCAATATGCATTTTCACTCAAATATTGAGAAATATGAACTTTTGTTGAACTCTTTAGGAGTTTGTATAAATTTTAAATCATCAACATAAATTGTCGTAATTAAAAGTACGAAATTTATTTTCTTTATGAAAACATATGAGCAAATATCGTTATTCTTATAATCCCCTTTCAATAGATATTTTCTATGGCAATTATACCACATATGTTCGAATTACTTAAATACGTATAATGAGCTTTGCAATTTGATTGAGAACGTAACTATTAGAAATGAATTGAATCATTTGCTTCTAGAACCTTAAACATTTCGAAGATTTCATGTTTATGTCACTATCAAGTAAACCATGCAGATAGACAATTACTGCATCCCATAAAACACATGCCAAGCCATAATGAATCAACCAAGCTAATTACAAAAATTAAATAAAGACATTCATTATAAGATAATATGCATTCTCATAATCGATTCAAGTCTTCGAATTTCAAGTTCGTACACTTTTGTATTGTTTTAGAAAATTAGTTTCACGTACCGGGCTTCATTTCATCTTGGCCAATGATTTCTACATCGACATTTTCGACGGATTTCCTCCAATATCTTCACTTTCAATCAAAATTAGATTACTTGTTCAAATGGTCTTTTCAAATCTTTAAATGTTACCTCTTCAGGTCTCTATTTGATCAATTTTTTCATATAGTTTAATAAACAAAATACCAACTCATCTTTTTCCCTTCATATTAGATTTTGCAATATATTTTATGTTATATTTCTTTAATTTGCATAAGTTATCAGTATTTTATTTCCATGTGCTTATGTTTTTTGATTCAACATTGGGATCTCAATTTAAATTTTAAGACGTTTTTTTGTAGTTGAATAAATTTTATTTTAGATTTCTCTCTCTCTTTATTCTTGGATTTCGTTTTTATATAATAATGTCAACATTGCAAATGCATATGCTCTTTTTTGAGACAAAATGAATTACTTAAAGTTAACATTAGCAAAAAACAATGTTAATCAGATATCATATGCAACGAATATTATTGAAGGCTCCAAATGAAAATAACTAAGTCATGACTAGGATTCGAAATTTTTCAATAATAGAGGAATGAGTTAAATAGTTGGAAAAGAGAATGCAAACTAGATATGAATAATAGATAAACAATTTTCAAATGCATTATGGACAAATAGTAGCTATAAATTTCCAACTCGAGTTGAAGTCCTCATGGATAATATGCTAAAATTAGTAAATCTCATGAATGCCTCAAACACGATACAAAAATTGGTTCCTATTAAATATACAACACTTCTGAAGAGGTCGAAAGATATTAAAAAAAAAAAAAAAATCAAATAGACCCGTAAAGAGGTTAACATAGACCCCTGTAAAGGTTTACTTAGATTACTAATATGTTTGTTCTTGACGAAAATAGTGAAAAAAAATAAAAAAATTTCAATAAAAGTCATGTCACTCTTAAAAAGAGGTGGAATTGAAAAAATATAATGCCGACATTAAAATTATTGGCCAAAAATAAAAGAGAGCTCTTTAGGCATAAGTTAAATTTCATAATGTATCCTTGATACTTGGCTATTAGTAGACTTCAAAGAATTTGCGAATGACAAGACAAGTTATTAACAGTTGAAGAGTCACTGCCACTCCTTTGTTTATGTAGTTACTAAAGTGGCTTCACGTTCTAGGCATTGATTGCTTCGCGATGTCATGTAAGGAGGAATTGGGGAGAAGCAGGGAGAAGATCAGAAGAACCAACCACGGAAGGAAGAACAGCAAACCAGGAATAGAGAAGGAAGATGGAAGCAACAGAATTTTGCACTGGAAACGACAGCGTTTCATTTAAGTAAATACGACCCCGTTATGCTTTTTAGTTTGATTGAATAAAGTGTAATGGGAAATCAAAGAAACGTTCGATCCTTTAGCTGTGAAAGTGCGACTTTAATTATTGGTGAAATTAGAGGCTACATCAGCCCACGTGCGTAGTGGAGAAGGGGTATAGTTTTCTACCAAAATTTCAGTGGAATTGTTGATTGGATCAACAACTTTTCTCCCTCCTCCCTTGTTTGTTTTACATCATTTATCATATCTCCATTATGTTTTTCCTTTTATTTGGTTATTATTTCAGCTGGTTCAGTTCAGAACACTTTATTTATTGATTTGTGAAAGCGTGAGGTTGCGAGGTAAATATCAGTTCATGACATGCGATTTTAATAAAACTCGATTTGAATTTGATATAACAATGTAAGTTCCAAATTTGATGTTTCGTCATTAATGAGGACGTTATTATGAAATTATAATTACCAGTGTTTTAAAAATCGTAAAATGTGGAATCCAAATTTCAAGCTTTATGAGTTAAGGCGGGGCCTATGCGTAAAAAAAACATTTTCTTATTTTTAAAATTATTTTAAATTTTTAATCATTTTAAAAATTAAAATAATACATGCCAAACGTCTAAAATTATAAAATACTATATTTGCTTAAGGCCTGTTGAGAACCATTTTTTTTTATGAAGGCAAAATATGAACAAATAAATAAGTTCCATCTCTAACCGCTCTTAGATAGACAGATTTAATATAGTATTAGAGCAGACGAATCTATGCACTTAGTAGACTTTCGGTTTAAAAATTTTAAAAACTACCAGCCTAAGCGACGTATGTTAAAAAAAAAAAAAAATCTAAAATTATTAAATTTGTATCTAATAACTAATGTTTTTGAACGAGATAGTTAAACTATAAGGGTATGTAAACCTAAAAGAACTACATCCAAAATGTTCCTTTTAGACTCTTCAAGTCCAGCTTTCTAACTTTTCAAATCAATCTCGATCTTATCATTGACTTTTTGTTCCTCGAACCATGTTTCAACTGCTCATTAATTTGATAGAAAATTAATGTGAGCATAATTTTTTCAAGACATTTTGCAATCCTTATCTTGATATTGTAATTTTGCAGTACAAATTTATTTACAAAGAACAATATCTCAAAAAATAAAAATAAATAAAAATTGGGCACTCTAGTTGGGACAAAAATGGATGGAGAAATCAGAATATGCTATTTGGCCTAGATGTTGATACTAATGACAATAACATGCTTTTTACCAAGTCGATTTGCTTGACAAGGTAGGTTGTGCTAAGCATAAAGGTCTAGCTCCGTCTGGTGAATTTATTTATTTTTTTTAAAGAAAAACCCTAAAATCTCACATGGCCAGAGTGAATGTGGGCCACATTGAACTCAACATTTTCTTAACCAGCTCGCACGGCATGATTGGCATGTTTGGTACGTTCCTGCATAATATTGTCCAGTAAATTGTGTTAAACATTGACTAGAATTAGAACATCAATATCTAGTTATGATAAGCACAAAAGTGTTTTTGGTATCTTAGAAATGATAGACTGACTGTAATTGAGATATTACAATTGTGATCACGAATATTAAATCTTTTATTCCCTCCGTCCCACAAAGATACACTTGTTTTTATTTTTATACAAATTAAAAAATATATATAATTAGAAATATAACTTTATATATATATATATATATATAGTACCCTACATCAAATAGTAATTTAAATAAAAGTAGTTCATATTTGTTGAAGTCTACATTAAATAGGGGTATATTGAAAAATTAAGAAATCAACTATACTATGAACAAAAAAATGACCTATAATTTGAGACGTGGAAAAAGAAAGTAAGTCCATCTTTATGAGACGGATGGAGTAATACTTTCTTTTGAAAACCACACAAAAACTTAGGCCTTGTTTGATCCACCCAAATTTTCCATGGAAAATGGAAAATAAATTCTATCTTCCACTTTAGGCATATTTGATACACTTTTTTTCTTGGCAATTCATTTTCTTGGTTTTGGTTCACACGCATCTAATTCCTTGTTTTTGATGAAAACGAATTTCCACCAATTTGGTGGGATTTGGTTTTCTAGGTTTTATTTTTTTTTGGCAATGAAAACAAATTTTATGGATAATTGTAAATTTTTTTTTCCCTTTAATGGATAATTTTCATGAAAAATAAAGTCAAACGAAGACTAAAAGATCCAAAATTTCAACATTTTCAATGTGAAAAATTATACCAATCAAACACAATTAATTGACAATTTTCAGAAAAATAATTTTAGGTAATTCAATTCCCTATAATTCATTTTCTTTCCACCAAAATTTTACTATTGCAATCAAACGGTCACTTATGTTCAAACTAATTGCAGCAAATTGCAAGCAAAATGGAAAACAAAATACATTGAATCTACTCAATATCAACTAAGACCATTCGTACAAAAAAAAAAAGCGAGTTTATGGGCAGCCTCATTCCTCACGCGGGCATGAAGTGACAAGTATTACAAGCCACCCCAGAAAATGTGCATTAGTATCTGATGAAAAATATTACCGAATTACAAAATTTATAATCTTTAACATTATGACCCCGTTTGTTTCGGATTAAAATCAGATTTTAATACAAATCAAAATCAAATAATTAATATTAACATCTTTCATGTGTCTCACAAATTTTCAAACACACATTTCAAAAACTTCTATCACAATCTACTAAATATCTAATTTTAATCATCACCGAACACCCACTATACATCATTATCACTATGGAATTTCCAGTCAATTGCTCCATTGTCATTGGCTCCATGAGAATATAACAGTTACGAAGACAGTAATATGGACAGTAATCAATATATGCTATTTCTTTCGAAGAATGAGAGTGGAAAAGGGGACCTCAATCCATTATTTTGAACTTTAAACAGGACAATCCTACAAAAAGGTCTTCTTCAAGTTTTTAGAGCAAGAAATTGACACTGGGACATATATTAGATAAAATTTTCATCCTCATAAAGAGGGCCCCACGAGAAATCCCATGATTAAAAATCTAGCCAATCAATAAGAATGGATTAGGATTTTTTTTTAGTCTACCCAATAGGAAAACAGATAAGGGCCATTGGTGGGTCCCCAAAGTGTTAGACCCTTTCCCTGTGGAAAAATCCCGAAAGTGGGGAAAAAGTGTCCAAGAATGGCCTGGAGCTCTTAATTGCACTGTAAAAGTGCACATTGTGTGGGTCACTCCCCTATACAAATAATTGAACCAAGTTTTTTGAGTTCTATACATTAAGAGCAGAAGACCCAGCATATCCCTATTGCCTTTTGGTGTCCAATTTTCTTTGGTTTGATCCCAGATCGATATAAAAATAGAGATATATACACAAAAAAATCCATGGTTTCTGATAGAAAATTGGCTAATGTTGTTGGTGGAAAAACAGCAAGGGCCTGTGATAATTGTATAAGAAAGAGGGCTAGATGGTATTGTGCATCTGATGATGCATTTTTGTGCCAATCTTGTGATGCATCTGTTCATTCAGCAAACCTTTTGGCTCGACGCCACAAAAGGGTTAGACTCAAGATTTCTTCATTCAAATCATTTGAGGAATCTTCTCTTCGGATTTCTGTGCCCTCATGGCACCAGGGTTTCACCAGAAAGGCTCGAACTCCGAGGCAAAAAAGTCATGCAGAGAAGCTCAAATCTGAAGAACAAGTTGGAAACCCTCTTCATCTTGTGCCTGAAATTTGCAGCGAAGAGCACTCCTATGAAGAAAATGATGAACAGCTTCTTTATAGGGTTCCGATTTTTGAACCCTTTGTAGCAGAGTTATGCACTTCGGTAAATGAGGATGTGATGAATAATGAAGCAGAAAATGCAGAAGCTTCTGGGAGTACTGAATCGAAAGCCATGTCGAATGATTTGAGTCAAGAAATAAATCATATACATGGGTTTCTTCCATCCGAAATGGATCTTGCAGAATTTGCTGCTGATGTTGAAAGTTTATTGGGTAAAGGGCTTGAAGATGAGTCGTTTGATATTGAAGGGTTGGGACTTTTGTGCTGTGAAAAAGAAAATCATGACTCAAAGGAGTGTTCTTCGGGCAGTAGTGAAAAAGTGAAGGTTGAAGATGAAGAAGTTGCAGAAATAGTCGGGGCACAGGCACATGGAAATGGAACAGAGATTGACTTGGAAAGAAAATCTTTTGAGTTCAATTTTGATTATGGTGATTATTCTCCAATTACAGGTGAAGGAGAAGATACTAAAGCACCAATTATTGGTGGTGGTCAGCCGATAATTAAAAAATTCGAAGATTTTAATGAAGTCGATGATGATACTAAGAAGAAGAAGATAATGTTGAGTCTAGACTACGAGGGTGTGATGTCGGCTTGGGACGAACAAAGGTCCCCATGGACAACTGGTGAACGACCGGAATTGGATTTCAATGACTTTTGGCCTGAATACATGGTTCGTTTCCTTCCTTTTTATGTATAATTCATTTCATATATTCTCTCTTTTTTCCTTTTGTGTGTGGGAGATAAATAAACAATACCTAAGAGAGAAATTCTAGTTACAGTAAATTCCTTAGATTAACATACATCAATTTTAGATATATATACTCAAATTCAACACAAATAGAAGCTATTTTATTACAGTGTTTACTAATAACATTTTCTAGCACGTTTTTCTTTTTCCTATGAGGTACTAGTATGATCCCAAATAACTAGAGGTATATAAAAAGTTGGCCAGGAGAAGACGACACAATGCGCAAGATTTTTGTTCGTACTGCTGAGTCCATCCCACCAAACAAGCTAATTACGTTTGTCTAATTGAGGTATATATGATAAAATTTTGTAGGGCACTTGTGGTACAATGCATGTATATGGAGGTACGGGAATGATGAGTGGACATGCAGCAGCAATGGTGGACGGAGGTAGAGAAGCCAGGGTTTCTAGGTACAGGGAGAAGCGCCGAACCAGATTGTTTTCCAAGAAAATAAGGTACGAGGTTCGGAAATTGAATGCTGAGAAGAGGCCCAGAATGAAAGGGAGATTCGTTAAGGGAGCAAATTTTGTAGCAACAGCTTTTCCTTTGCTCAAGAAATAGGAATTTTGAGCAATTTAACTGACAATAGCCAGAACTACCAGTTACCAGTAAACTGGCTAGGAGTCCAGAATTTTGTATAATATATCCAATAATTACGCAGCAATCCATCAAATGTTTGTATGTTTACAAACATATATGTTAATGGAAGTGAATATTTTAGGTAATCGTGTGACAAACAGATCCAGGTACAGCTGCACGTCGTTTGAATTCTAGTTAATTTTTAGAAAGAAAAAAAAATGACATGATTTATATGTAACATAGAATTTCTTATATAAGTAAAGTGAATGTGCAAAAGGACATCAACAGTTGTGTACAATTCTGGTAAAGATAAATCTTGTGATTGAATTGATACATTTTATTATTTAGTAACGTATTATGCTAAGTCAAACATGGGATTAGCTTCATAGATTCTTCGAAATGGAATCTATCATTCAGTGGTTATCAAGAATATCCTGGCTGCAAGCATTAAAATGTTTGGTTGCATAAATTTCATCATAATATTAATATCTTAATTAATATAGATGGAATAATTATATTAATTATTAAAATTTTGCTTGCATGCCCCCTCTAATGCAAGTATAAGTATGTTCATTTTCTATTAAAGGCGCTTTTGAGGCAATACAATCGTAAAAGGGTTGCTCTTAGATGTCGTCTTAAAATTGATCTTTCTTATGATTCGGTTAATTGGGATTTTCTTAGAAGTGTGCTTGAAGGCCATGGTTTTCCTACAAAGTTCATCGGATGGGTGATGGAATGCAGTACCACGCCTACTTATTCTATAGTGCTTAATGGTGGCCTTTATGGATTCTTTAAGGGAAGGAGGGGCTTCATCAAGGTGATTCTTTGTCTCCATTTTTGTTTGTTATTTGCCTTGAATATTTTTCAAGGATGCTTAAGGAAGCTACCGAGGATAGTGAGTTTAACTATCATCATAAATGTGGTCAATTGAATATCACTCACTTAGCTCTTGCGGATGACTTGATACTATTTGCAAGGGGGATATTATCTCGGTTGGTATCTTGATGAAGTACTTGTCCAAATTTGGAGACATGTTGGGACTTAGAATGAATGTGAACAAGTCTAACTTGTATACGATGGGCATTCATGGACAAGAGTTGGATGACATATACCAATTAACTAACATGGCAAAGGGTTCTATGCCATTTCGTTACTTGGGAATACCACTCGTGGCGGAAAAGTTGAAAGTAAGCTCTTATGACTCATTTATCAACAAAAATTAGGCCCATGTTGGAGTATGGTCTAGGGTAACTTTATCTTATGCGGGAAGGGCAAAATTTGTGAGGATCGTGTTTCAAGATGTTGAATGGTTTTGGCTTTCCATTCTACCTATTTTAGCCATGGTTTTATCTAAAATTGTTTCTATTTGTTATAATTTTCTTTGGGGATCGAGGAAGCCATTGGTTGCATGGAGTAGTGTTTGCTTGCCGAAACATGAGAGAGGTCTTGTGATATGATTTGGAGTACGCCACAATTTATCAAGAATCTAAAGCATGTTGGAAAGAGAGTAGAGCCGAGTTCGAGACTTCAAAGCGTTGATAAAGCTGGTCATTTACATGTTCGAGCAACGAAGTCCATAATATTGAAGACAACAAGCCAATGGTGAAGTAACATGTTGGGGATGGAAGCTGAAAAGAGTTGAAAAGCGTTGAAAACGAAAATCAATTTGTAGGCAAAAATAAAACCTATTCGACCGCATATGGAGAATGGCATNACCTATGCGACCGCATAGGGAAAACAGGCATGCGGTCGCATGCCATGCAGTAGAGATTTGAAGGGGCCGTATAGTTTGAACTATATGACCGCATAGATTTGTACTATGCGGTCGCATAGACCAAATCCGGGAAGAATATTTCATTTTTTCGAAATTTCCTAGTTTAGTTAGAATTCTATTTTAATTGATATTTTGTAATCTTTTAAGAATTATTTCCGATTTTAACTAGCTTCTAGGGTTTAGTATAAATAAGATTTTCTATCATTGTAACATTAACACTTTTTTGACATAATGAAATATTGAGATTTTCTCTCTTCTTGTTCTTCATGAACATTCGAACTTATCAAATATATTATTATATTTGTGGCGTTCAACCCTAGAACTTATCAAAGGATTAGGCACCCTTTGAGGTTCTTGTATCCGTATATCAACAGGTCTAAGGTTTAATATACCTTAGGTTCTTGAATCGTGAGGCTCGGATCGAAATTCTATCGTCTACAACCTGGATTTGGGCTTTCCCGGCGTTTTCAAATCAATTTCGCGAGTTCCATGCAATTTTCCTACCCAGTTTCGTATCATTTGGTATTAGAGCTTTAACTCCAATTCTATTAGGTTATATCCTATATTTTCTTGTTGAGTAAATAAATTTTATCTTTCCGTAGTTTCTTCGTGTTCTTGTGTCCAGTAATATTGTTGAGTTTTTGATCGGAAAAAAATTCCAAAAAAAAAAAAGTCAAAAGTTGTTTTTGTGCTCAATTTGAGTCCAAATCAACTTCCGTCTGTTTCGTTGTTATCATAGTTGATTCTCGAGTTAAAAAAAATTTAGTGTTCATCCGTATGGTACTGTTCATTCGTACATTCCAAAAAAAATCTGATTTCTTGGAAATCGTTCAATACCCTAATATCAATTCCAATTTCAAAAATCTATTTCTTCCATTCTAATAGCAAATTCAAGAACCTCTTGCTTGGATTAAATTACTCACTTATCCAATTATCCAATTTCCTTATTCTCTTGAGTCTTTGTGATTACATTTACATAAAATAATGAATTATGAAGGGAGAAATATTTTTCAAACTCGGTGTTATATGGGTAGCAAGGTATGTAGTCTTGCAATTGATAAGGAGCACATATCCAATTTGGCTAGTATCACAATAGTGGAGAAATTGGGGTTACCTTTACGACAATACCCTATGCCTTATAGGCTGAGTTGGTTGAAAGAGTATGGGAATGTATATGTGAACAAGCAGGTTCTGTTGAATATCGCCATTGGGAGCTATATTGATGAGATTTGGTGTGATATGGTGTCGTTGAAATCCTTTTATATCTTGTTTGGGAGACCTTGGCGACGTGAACGGAAGACTGTGTATGATGTGGGAAAGAACTTTCTTCAGGACGGGAAGAAAATCACTCTGGTTGGCTTGACACCACAACAGGCATATGAAGATATACTCAAAGTGAGAAGTGAGGAAGAGAAGGGATTGAGAGAAAATGAGAGTAAGAGCGAAGCTGATAAAGTGGTGAGCTCGAGAGAAAATAGTGAGGTGTTTGATTTTGAGGAAAAAAGGGAAATACCACAAGAGAGTGAGAAAGAAATTGAGCGTGAAATTTTAAGAAGGGAAGTAGAGCTGCAAAAAGAAGTTCAAGGAGAGTTTTCGAAGGTGACGAAGAAGTTGGAAGTAAACTAAAAAAAGGAGGAGGAGTGTAAAGAAGAGGAGGCTTTGGTGAAAACTAACAATTCCCTCCCTAGTTTGGCTATTTCTGTTTTGTAGGTTACCGAAATTTTATTCCAGCAAATTACCCCATTGGAGTACCACCCGACCCAAGGGTTGAGCTTCAGTTGAATTTCTCTTATTTGCCGAAAATTGACTTTGTGATTCTCGAGGGAACGACGGAGTATCAAAGGTACTGGAGGAATTTCATATGCAGAGGGTTGAGTGAAGAAGATGATCGCAGAGACAACATTGGTACATTAGAAGTGATATTGTTACAAGTGCATGGACCAAGTAAAGCAAGGAGAATGCATGGAAATTTATCAGATGGAGTTGCTATGGAAGCGTCCCAAACTTGCAAGATCAAGCAATCGAGGCGAGCACACTTTGATCCAGGTGAAGGCGATTGGGTTTACAATCGAAGGCGGTGGGTTCAAGTTCAAAGGAGGTCCAAATTGCATCCTAGAGGTGCTGGAACGTTTCATGTTCTAGCATTGATTGGCGGCAAGGGTTATAATCTGGGCATTGAAGGTACGGATTCGAGGACGAATCCTCTTGAAGAGGGAGAGTATGATATGATCCGGGGTGCGTCACAATTTATCAAGATTTTGATGATTTTTGGAGAGAGAGTAGAGCCAAGTTCGAGACTTCAAAGAGTTGATAAAGCTGGTCATTTACATGTTCGAGCAACGGAGTCCATAATATTGAAGATAACAAGCCAATGGTCAAGTAACATGTTGGGAAAGCACTCGAACTTTCAGTCTCAGTTTGAGACACTATTTTGGCATAGAATACGTTTGAATTTGAAGATTTGTATTTCTATAGCATTTGTATCCCTTGAAGTAAAATTTCTAATGCATTTTGAATCACTTCAATCGAATATCAGGAGAGGAAGATATGACTGAAATACTGAAAGCTCTCCGAATCCGAGAAAACTGTTTTGCCGCGAATTTCCTTATTTTTGCTAGATTGCGGTCGCATGCCATGCAGCAGAGATTTGAATCGGCCGCATAGTTTGAACTATGCGATTGCATGCCATGCAGTAGAGATTTGAAGGGGCCGCATAGTTTGAACTATGCGATCGCATAGATTTGTACTATGTGGTCGCATAGACCAAATCCGGGAAGAATATTTCCTTTTTTCGAAATTTCCTAGTTTAATTAGAATTCTATTTTAATTGATATTTTGTAATCTTTTAAGAATTATTTCTGATTTTAACTAGCTTCTAGGGTTTAGTATAAATATGATTTTCTATCATTGTAACATCAACACTTTTTTGACATAATGAAATATTGAGATTTTCTCTCTTCTCGTTCTTTATGAACATTCGAACTTATCAAATATATTATTTTATTTGTGGCGTTCAACCCTAAAACTTATCAAAGGATTAGGTACCCTTTGTCGCGTTCGCAAATTGAGATTCTTGTTTCGCATATCAACGTATCTAAGGTTTAATATACCTTAGGTTCTTGAATCGTGAGGCTCGGGTTGAGATTCTATCGTCTACAACCTGGATTTGGGATTTCCCGACATTTTCAAATCAATTCAGCGAGTTCCA